AAAAGTTCGAGCCGGCCCAATTCAAGACTCAATTCTATCGAGCTAAGACTCGGGTCGAGCCCCATTATGGATCATCGACCCGAGCTTGAGCCACCCCTATGCTGGCTAGCCTGTGAGCAAAGTCTAAAACTAAATAAATAAATAAATATATATATATATATATACACACACACACACAGGCAGCACTTGCTGTCTGTTTTGGTAGCATTACATAGAAAAATACTTATACAAACTCGAGCCACGCAGAGGCTACATGTTGCCTCTTTTCATTATTATTAAAAAAAAACGTGTCGGCTTCACTAGTTAAGGCCCGAACTGAAAGCTCTGGTCGAGCCTAGATTTTTTCGGGCAAAAAAAAACTTCGAACAATTTTTACTTGAACCGAGCCCGAGTTTCGACTTTCAACTCGGCTCGTTGACTCTCTAAATGGAAGTAAACGCAATTCGCAAAATTAATTGAGATTTAAAATCATTCTCACAAGGGTTACTATCTAACAATTGGTTCAATTATTCCTAACTTTAATTTGATCGAAAACCAATAAAAGGTATGTATTTTCTTTTTGTGATTTTCTATTTTAAATATACTAAAGTAAAAGTGATTTTTTTTTCTTTTTTATGATGCTTTAAGTGTTAGGATTCATAATTTTACCACAGTTGCCCCCTTAATCTAAATTACCAAATTTCATACAATTGAATATGTTTACCCGATCGAATTCTTCTAATATATTCAATTTATCCTATCGAGTTCTCATTGAGTTTATTTAACTTGTTTAATTTTATATCTATATGTAAATCAACCTTAATTAAACGAAATTATTGTTCTAAGAATTTATGCAACGACCACAATAACTAGTATAAGTATCTCTATGTTTTATACTAAATTACCGATTTTTACTATGTGGCCTAAACAAATGATCCGCATCTTTACGTAATTATTGCTCATGAAATCAATAAATTAGTGGTCAATTAATCCAAGCATTAAGTATAGAAATATGGGTGTCATTTGGCTTGCCGCCTCGGCGGCCCGTAGCTCGGTCCGGGAAAAGCCTGAGACAACCCGGCTTGCAGCTTAGTTCTAACAAGCCACATTTTGGAGCGTTGGCTTCAGCTCGAACCAGCCCATGTAGCTCGATGAGCCACACGGGCTGGCCCGTGAGCAAATTTTTTTTAAAAAGAAAAAATATATAAATTTGTATACAGGCAACAATTGCTGCATGTTTTGGCAGATACACGTAGAAAAATACTTATACAATCCCGAGCGACGCAGAGGCAACAGACTGCCTCTTTTCATTATTATTAAAAAAAAAAAGCACGAGCCGGTTTGGCTCGACCTGGGCCAAAAAATGCACAAATCATTTGTACTTGAACCGAGCCCGAGTTTTAAGTTTCGGTTCGGCTCAGCTCGTTGACATCCCTAAATAGAAGTTGAAGCAATTCACAAAATCAATTGAGAATTAAACCTTTTTAATTAAAATTAAGGTTCAATACTAGGTTACAATCATTCCCACGAGTGCTACTATATAACAATTGGTTCAATTATTCTTAAATTTAATTTGATCCAAGACAAATAAAAGGTATGCATTTTGTTTTTGTGATTTTCCATTTTAAATGTAATACAATAAAAGTGAGTTTTTTTAATATGATGGTTTAAATGTTAAGATTCGTGATTTTACCATAGTTATCTCCTTAATCTCAATCACCAAATTTTATACAATTGATTATGTTTACCCGATTGAATTCTTCTAATGTATTTAATTTATACCTCTCAAGTTCTCATTGAGTTTATTTAACTTATTCAATTTCGGGTTGATTTCACAAACGGTCACTGAAGTTACCTGAAAATCACAAAATGGTCACTGAAGTTTAAATTTCTTTAACTTGCAGAAATGGTCACTGAAGATTAAATTTCTTTCACAAATTGTAACTGAATTTTCAGATTTTTTGGGCACGTTTTGGGCAATTATTCGGCAACTTCTAACCACCAAAATCGTCAATTTCGGATACCGTTGGAAAGTCCACAATGTCCTCTTCAATTACCATCAAAAATCTTCCCAAAACTCCAAGTGATTCGGTCGGAATAAAGTCACGAAGTCGGCAACCGAAAATTGTGAAAATCT